ATGAACTGTATCACGTATAGCACGGAATTCAAATTCGAATCACTGACTTCTGATACACTATCCCATATACTACTTTATTAGTGTAGGCATTTCCAATTCCTCACAAAAAAAGCAACGTAATCTGCTTGATTTTACAACTAACGTATTCTCGTTCTTTAGTCAGTTAACTAGCTCGCTAGATAGTTATTTAGTTAGCGCGTATGTTACACCCAGCGAATACTTTATAAATAATGAGTAAATAAATTATAAATGATGCACTATTCCGCCTTTTTTGTGAGGAAAGATGGAAAGCATATCAGAGACGCTGTTTGGCTTCAGCAAAGAAAGAAAGAAAGAAAGAAAGAAAGAGAAAATAGGACCGATAACGCCCGCGTATATATAACGTCTGCATGATTGAAAGTACAAAACATGTCAATTTTTTATTTCATTTTACTCTCTGAGTTTTTTTAAATAATGACATGCATTAATATTTTATTTATTAATATTTTTGACTAGCTTAAATGCCACCTATTCATATTTATGACTAGCTTAAATTCTGCCTTTTCATATTTGTAACGTGTAAATGCCGCCTATTCATATTTATGACTAGCTTAAATACCGCCCATTCATATTTATGACTAGCTTAAAGGCCGCTCACTTATATTTATGACGAGCTTAAATGCCACCTATTCATGTTATGACTACCTTAAATGCTGCCCATTCATATTTATGACTAGCTTAAATTCTGTCCATTCATATTTATGACTAGTTTAAATTCTCTCCATTCATATTTATGACTAGCTTAAAATGCTGCCTATTCATATTTCTGACGCTTAAATGCCGCTCATTTATATTTATGACGAGCTAAAATGCCGCCCATTCATGTTATGACTACCTTAAATATAGCCCATTCATATTTATGACTAGCTTAAATTCCGTCCAATCATATTTATGACTAGCTTAAATGTATCCTATTCATATTTATGACATGCTTAAATACCGCCTATTCATATTTAAGCTAGCTTCTGCGGGGTTTCTTGATTGGGCCTTCAGCTTGATCAGAAGCTTGAGAGACCCTAAACTTTTGCATATTCTCACCATTGGAAACTCTATGAAATCTCTGACTGCCGTTTAATCTGACTTTTAATTTACATATGACTTTTTTCCTTGCTGGAACCTTGGCTCTTTTGATAGCAATCTGGTCCTTTGTTGGAGACATTTTTTGCGAGGTATATTGCTGCTATATGCGATAGGCAAAATTAAAGTCAGAATTGATGGCTGCATTTAAGCATTGCATTAATATTTAAGCTTAACCTTTTAAAAGTTCAACAATAATTTTTCTTTTATTTCTTAATTTAAAGACAATTTGATGTACGTTGATCCTTACTTTCCGTACAAAAACTATTTTTATTTTATGGGCGACTTTTGCTGGATTACACAAATTATTTCGATTATTTCCAAATTTATTTCCAAATTATAAAACTGTTACCGTACAAAAAAATTCGTTGTAAAATATCACTTAAAAAATCGCCGAAAACAAAGGCAGTAATGACATCTTGGGAATCCAAAATTTCTGTAACATGAGCTATTGAAAGTTAGTGAGTTGTGTCCCTTTAATTAAAAAAGTGTGATACAGTGACACACTGACAAACGCATTTATCATATAGATTGTTACTGTAATAGTTTGTTAAAATTGTTAATCGCAAATATATCTGAGAATATTTAAAGATGCAACGTAGAAATTCTGACGGCAGTTTGTGGTTATAAAATATAAGGAACTTATTGAAACATTAACTTAAGATTTGTCAGAAAATTAAATTTCAATGGGATTGTTAGTTATATTTCTAATTAGATTAATTTTATCATATGTTTGTTGTATTATATACGATTCCGTTTTGTATATGCTATTAAAATCTTAGATCATCTGCGGTGAGATAAGTGTTCGTCTTGGTTACAGTAAAGGGCAGATATTTTACGAAATATATAAGAATTAAATGTAAGACATCTTTTGCTAACGGCTGTGTACCAGGTGCAAAAACATTCTAACTTGTTGGAATCTGCACTGAATTTAAAGGAAAGAAACAATTCCCAATCGCATACATCGATTATTCGTCATAAAAAAAATCGTGATATACACAAAGACGGAGCAGACAATTGCTTGGGAATTACTTACTGCAGTCGAACCATAATACCAGAAAGATCTTTTATGAAAAAAATGGAATTTACGAATGTTTTTGTTTTTTTACGAAGAACACCAGGCTTTTGTGCAAAATCATTATTTCTATATCACTATACAAATTAACTCCAAAAACATAAGCAACAGGTATAAAGATTTATGGCTTCGCATTTCAGTTAGAAACTGTAGCGATAATTTTATAATAAACAATTTCATAAATAATAAATTTGAATTGATTTCCTTATATTTTCCTAATATTAGTAATATAAGTTTTTAAAACTATACCTTCATTCTTTTGTTATCTATATTGTTCTAGAATAGTTGCTCCAGCTTGCCTTGCGGTTTTCTTCGTCGAATCAGAATGGCGACCCCATAAGAGAGAAACCTTCATGATATAGTTTGGATATTGTCAAGTAGTTCTTTATTTTACATTTTATTCTGTACATGTAACGTGTGAAAGAATGTGTGATACCCCGCACTCGCCAGCCGCCAAACAGGGAAGATAACACAGTTTCGGTGGCTAAGGCGGTACTGACACCCTGGCGCCACCAGCAGCTTTTGCCAACGAACAGGGTATTGCTTTAGTATTCGTGCCAGTCTCTTGCATTTTCCTTTTGAAATTGCAACTGAAATTTTCAACGTTGTGTTAAAATACAGAACGCACTCATAGCGACTGTTACTAATGACTTAGAACGGAAAGGAAACAGATGCCCGTTCGCCATTACGATCTTTCGAGGTGGCTGAGTCGTCTCGTCCCTACGGGAGGTTGACGGGCGTCCTGAACCTTTTTCGTGTGTCACTCTTGTTTGGCCACTTTTAAACTTCTCAACACGATCATACATATTTCTAAGCGATAGTGCACTGCCGCTGTATTTTATTAAAAGCCTCTGATAAATTTCAACTCATGACCAAACTTCTGGCCAGAAAAATCGATCATTGCTCTTTGTCACTCCTTGGTGCACACTGCTAACGGAGCGGCCATGTTAATACTGTAACATCAGCAGAAGAACCGTCGCTTTCACGCCCAAACTTTCATCACATGACCACAATAGTACCAAGTATAAGCATGCACGAACAGAAGCCAGTGTTACAAACCTAAAGATATATTATGTCGAAATTGCAGATAATTTTTTTTTTTTACTTACCTTCGTAACGAAATGCTAGCTCTAATACGATGCAACAGAAAATAATTATAAAGTATTCAAAATTAAAAATATTGACCATTTTCCAGCCATTTTTGGTATTTATTTTACACGGGTTTATGTGCTTTTGCTCCTAAAACACACAGGAGACTGGCAAGTTTCCAGTTGATGGAATCTTTGTCAGCCTTGAAAAGCAGCATTCAAATTAATTGTTTTCCTCTTGTTTCCGGTAATTAAGTAGGTGTGAAAAATAAATCAAAAAGTCCCATTTTATTGTGATCTCGGGCCTTAATGAACCATATCCAGTCAAACAATTTCGATGAATATACAATCTTGAATAGGAGTTGATTCATCTTATTTAACCATGTTCGATTTATGTTTAGGCAGATGGCTTATAGGCAAACTTTATGACACGAGACACATTATAATTGTACAATCGTAGCTTGAATTCGAAACGATATTTTGTACAAGCACAAAGCATAGATCAGTATGAGGAATGACTTTGCTCGCATTGTGCAACTCAGATTCTCAATAATTTTAGCGATGTTCTGTTTCTGACAAAGCACATGTTTAACATAAACGTGGATTTTAAACAAATTATGTAATGATTTTCTTTCAAAATCTAATTATAAAATTCATAATGAATTGGTATTTGCCTTTTTCCATTCAGACCAGTGTGTACATCTTGGTACTTTTAGTCGCAACATTTCAGTGGTTTATGCAACTTTGTTTAGGGGCCTGCTGTTGTACTCTTGGGAATCAAAACCGAATGCTTTATTTATTCTAGAGGAGTACACTGGTGCCAATCCGTTTTGCATGTTTAGGGGGTATTTCATATCAGTTAATGCACTTATTCACCTCTTGTGTTCCTTTTTTCTTCACTTCCATTTAAAGTTTCTTTTTCTTCTTCATTTACATTTTTATTTTCTTGTTTTTCCTTATCATTTTTTCTTTATTCTTCAGTACTATTTTTGTCTTCTTCTTCATTACCATTTTTATTTTCTTCTCAGCTTCTTTATTTTGGTTCATTTTCATTTTTATTTTTCCTTTTACTTCGCTTCCATTCTTGTTTATTTCTTCTTCACTGCCATTTTTATTTTTGTTCTCTTCATTTTTAGTTTTATTTTCCTCTCTTCTTCCTCACTTCTATTTTTACTTTTTTTTGTCTTCACTTCTATTTTTATTTTTTTCTTGCCGTTGTTGTATGCACATCTTGATTTTTTTTTCTCCTAGCAAGTGTTGTCTCTGAAAATGCCGATCCATAGTATTGTTAATCAGTTGTAACACGTGCAAGACCAATTTAAAATGAAAATCTCGTGTTCATCATTAAAACAGTTTTGTCCTTCTTCAGGACAAACAATAAAATTGTATTTGTATTCAAATGCACGTACAACAAAGAAGCAGGATATGCATTTCTTTTGGGCAGTACCAGATACAGAGTCTGACCTTACATCTTCTATGGAACCAGACGACATTTAACAAATGATTGAAAAGTAACTGGTGTTACCAGTGTTGAAACTTGGGCTGTTTGACATTCAAATTTTATACGTGAAGGTGTCGTGAATATATATCCGCGCTGAAATAGATGTCGTGATTTTGACAAGTTTCGCTATTCCAATATGGCTTCAGAAGCCTATGTCTCATTTTCCGTCATCTGTTTCAAGACATCCCAGTTAAACTTTTCTACTTGCTTGATTGAGACATCACTAATTTGGAGCTCGCATATTGGTTTTACTAACGACTAGACATTCTGCCTTCTTATATACGATGACTGGTTCTTTATTTCTGCGTTCCGTCACCAAATTTTCTTGGAGTCCATGCTGTTTTATTTCTGTAACTTCCATAAATAGAGTGTCATTTGTGTGTCTTATGTCGTTAAATTGTATTCACTAGTGATAAATATTTGTAATTTTAGTTGGAATCATCTCGCTGTGTACTTGATCAATTTTCTGTGACTAGAATTTTTTTGCAACACATGATACGTGTGAAAATCCTCACAATATTTAGTAATTTTGAAATTATCGTTAACATTTTTTGTCAAGATTTACCAACTCTTCGTTTAATTCAATTTCGCAAACGAATCGATAAAATTTAAATGTGCTGATTTCTTTGGATAAATACTTTGACAAATCCCTACTCCGCGATTTAATAATTTCTTCAATTTAATTTAATTTTATAGGACTTTATGGTAAATATTATTTAGTTTTTTTATTTTTTTTTTTTTTAGGCATTTTTCTTTTTAACAGCGAAGGACAAATTCTTAGGATTTCTTACTCTTGAGCATGTAAAATACAACTAGCCATCCGGAAATATTTCTTTCTGAATCCATATTCTAACCTTTTGAAACGTTTGGTCTTGGGATTTTTCTATAGTTCTCGCAAACGCAGGGAGAACTGCAAACTGGATTCTTGTATATAAATACGTAAAGAAAGCATCTGCAAAACATATTGCATTTTTTTAAAAGTAAGTATTTGTTATTTTAATCAGTAAATTGTCTTTAAAATAGAGGGAGTAGTTTGTATGTTGAATAATATAACTTTTAATTTTTCCAAAAAATAATGAAAATTTATTATAGTAATCTGCTCACCATAGTAAAACCAATTGTACATTGTGCCCGCTTATCTGTTTGCTCTTCTTCCTAAAATTTAGCTTCAATCAGTCAATGTATGGCATTTTAGAAGGTGGGACATCCACAGAATTTTATATACAGATTATGCAGGAGCTTCCTTCTCATTAAAATATCCCGGATTATTCTAATATCTTTCTCTTGAAGCTTCAGTTTTTTCAGTACTTAAAATCGATCTTCGTTTCGTATCTTGTCAAATGATTTTTGTGTAGTCTATAAAACATAGAACTGACTTTCGTAATACAAACAATCAGTAAAGCAATGTAAGAAAAGCCCTAAAAAGGCACATCAGCATCTCTTTTTCATTTATTAGATTGTTATACGAGGTATTTAAAATTAATTCTTAATGCCTGGGATGATTGCTTTACTGAGACGCCAGAGGCTAATGTCAGCAAGTTCGACTTCCTAACATATGAACGGGAGAACGAGTTGATAATCATAAGTACTTCAGTGACTGTCACCAGCTTGGCAACTTTAACAGACCGCTCCTCTCATTCTTCGTGTTTTCCCAGCAAGGATCCTTCTGGCAGAAATGATATGTAATTAGATAATGAAGTACTGATCTATCTATCTATCTATCTATCTATCTATCTATCTATCTATCTATCTCAGTCTGTGTATATCTATCTCAGTCATTTTATATCTATCTATCAATCTATCTATCTATCTATCTATCTATCTATCTATCTATCTATCTATCTATCTATCTCAGTCTGTGTATGTCTATCTCAGTCTGTTTATCTATCTATCTATCTATCTATCTATCTATCTATCTATCTATCTATCTATCTATCTCAGTCTGTGTATATCTATCTCAGTCTGTTTATATCTATCTATCAATCTATCTATCTCAGTATGTGTATGTCTATCTCAGTCTGTTTATATCTATCTCAGTCTGTTTATATCTATCTATCAATCTATCTATCTATCTCAGTCGGTGTATGTCTATCTCAGTCTGTTTATATCTATCTATCTATCTATCTATCTATCTATCTATCTATCTATCTATCTCAGTCTGTGTATATCTATCTCAGTCTGTTTATATCTATCTATCTATCTATCTATCTATCTATCTATCTCAATCTGTGTATGTCTATCTCAGTCTGTTTATATCTATCTAACTATCTATCTATCTATCTGTGCGTGTGTGTAAATTAGTATGTATGTAGATTAATGTGAACAAACTACTGATTCGACACGCCAAAATATTTGAACAATTAACTAACGATACAATATGCAAATAAAGCACGAAGCAGAAATATGTTGAAAATTACACTTAGAATGATAAAGCTATTGTTATCCCTCTTAAGTGGCCAACTTTTTGTTCAAAGGAATCGTTGCTAATTGAAACATATTGATAATTCTCTTTTATTGTTTAATATATTAAATTTAACAATGATCGTATTTGATAACTGGTAATTGGCACCCTATTACTGAAGAAGAAATACACCTTCATTTTCTTTCATCTACATCGTATATATATATGTATATATATATATATATATATATATGTTTCATTAAATAATATAGAAAAGTTTGTCTATTTATTTTAAGCAAATTCCTTTCATATCGTCTGATAGATTTAATATTATCCTTGAAAGACGAAAGAAAATCATCATATTGATACATGTTTTTTAATCCTACCTAAGCATTTGGCTTACATAAGCCATCATCAAAGATGACAATTACATTACAAGAAATTAAACAATATCCGAACTTAGCAACAATGACAGTCTGTTTTGTTTGCATGGAAGCAACGACAAACTAGTGAATAGGAGCCGCTGGAACCGAGAGTGAAAACGATAAATGGTAAGTATGCAAAGACGTTGGTATGAACCAATACCTTCAGTTATCAATTATAGGCATTTAAGTATATTTGTGGAGATTTCATAATTTATTTTTTCAGGTTAGGTTTCAACTGTTTTATGTATATAGCTTCAAGAATTTTTTGTTTTTGTTTATTGTTTTCATGTTTAAATATAGTTGTTTTTTCAACAAGGATTTTCCGGAATTGTGTATGCGGCCAGGCATGTTTTTATAAATTCCTAAAAATGTTAGAGTTATCATTCAAATGTAGAATCGAGCGTCGTGAATGCGACTTTGTCGTGTGACCAACATAAATATTATTTAATCCGTTACAGATACAATCTATCTATCTATCTATCTATATATCTATCTATCGTCGACTCTTACGTCGAGTTCGACGAACGAGGGTCAAGCAGATCAGTTCCCAGGAAACTGACAGCCCGACAACGGCACATGAGATTTGATTATAGTGGTGAAGGTTTCGTGCAGGGCTATCCACACTTTTTGAAGGGCCGAATTCAGAGACCTGGTGCACTAAGTTCCACAAAGTCCCCAAACGACCCTCCGCAGGTTTGGAATTCAGAGTTGTCCTTCTCCTAGACCAGTTGCCAATCTAGGCTATAGAACCCAGTCTGTTCTGTTACTTACTCATAGCTGGAGGGAGAAGATGATTGACACCTTTCCCAAGGGTATTAGCACGTAAGTGAATGTAATGGATTCGACTGCGATTCCTCAATCCAAGCCGCTATCCATTAAACCACCATGCCTCCTATCTATCTATCTATCTATCTATCTATATATATATATATAAAAGATAACAATATTAAGGTGAGAGAACAATAAACCAACCTGAATTCAGAAGACTGAACATAACGCTCGATACAACATTTACGTTTTCGTAAATCAAATTTGAATGAAATGAAAGACGCCGTATCCGAATTCCACTAGTGAAAAGTGCGAAAGAAGAAACTATTAACATCGATCTTAGGGTTAGGGCTGCTAGATCTTTCAACTATAAAATGATGAAACCTCACCGCCAATGCATAAATTCACAAAGAGGAAAGTACAGCAGAACAGTTAATATGAAACTATTCATAGGGAAGGCACTGGTAAACTATGTTATGGCGACGGGAAAATAGCTGAAGCCGAATATAAAAAAAATATTTATTTTTCAACATAAACTCCTTCTTCGCCAATGCTAGTTTCTCTTAGGTCGTTGATTGATTTCATCTCTTGAGTTAGAGTATACAAATAGTATAGGGATACAGAAGGTGCTTATCTTCCTTTTCTGGAAATAAGTCACGTGGGGCACATCAATAACGTCACTCCATACAGCGACAAAAGCGCCGTCGATTTAACATTTCGTTTACAGCAACCAAAACTTAGGTTTTTTTTTTTTTTTTTTATTTTGGATACCCAGTGAGGCTAAAGCTGCCTTCCCAGCACCTTCCAAGTCCATGTTGCTCTATCTCTTTCTGAGTATAATATTGAGATAATATAATAATTATAATAGATTCAAATATTGAATGAATCTCCATCTCGCAGTCCTGAATGTGGGAGAACCCAAGACTCGCTGTTTCCCGTTGGTAGAACATGTTCTCGCCTGGGACATAGATGAATCCGTTACGTTTAAGTCAGGCAGCCTCAACATGGCTTCATCAGACACAGGAGTATTTATATATCATATGTAAGACCGTTTCTTTTTGTTTCTCATTACATCCTACTTTGCTGCGTAGATACATATGACACATATCCTTCATGTGGGGCACGTGTACATATGTATATATAGTTTTGTATGTCTATATTTCTGAGATGAGGTATTATGTACATTATTTACATTATTCGGAGTATTGTCCTCATCCTTGTCGCCATATTTATCACAACGTTTCGGCCGTTGTACGCTCCGGCCTTCTTCAGGTGGGTGGAATGTCGAACTGAACCCTTTATTTTGCTCGCTGGGGTAAACTGTTCTAGTTCAACGTGCCATGTTTGATGGATGTCAGTTATCAGTTATCTCCTGTTAATTTCCCTCTGAAAGTTCTCCACTGCCTCAAGGACACATGGCACAGTGGATAAAGACGTTGGTTAGATCCAGTAACAGAACTCAAAGAGTGTGAGTTCAATACTCGCTAAAGCCTTATGAAATCTGTAAAGGCTTGAAAGTGGGGGTTGGACAGCTCCAGTCGAGATAGGAGAGCAATATACCAGTTTTGGTCTGATGGAACTCTTGTCAATTTAAAAACATGTTTACTTCACAAACATAATTTCTTTAATTCTTAATTGCAGTCACTTTTGTCGTCGTCATTAGGGAGATATTTCATTTTTTTTTTATTGCTCTCTTATCTACGTTTAACATTTTCGCAATTTCTAAAAGGGCGTTTTCATGATTCAAAAATTTTGCAATCTTATATCATTATTGATGTTTTATTTTTCTAACAAAATCGTGCAATTCTCTCTCTCTCTCGTTTCTTTCTCTCTACCCCTTTCTATCTTTCCCTCCTCTATCTGACTGGCTGTCTATCTGTCTGTCTCTCTCCCTCACTATAAATATATATATATATATATATATATATATATATATATATATATATATACACACACCCACACCCACACACAGACACACACACACACCCACCCACAAAAAACATATATACACACACACACACACATACACACACACACACACACACACACACACACACACACACACACACACACACACACATATATATATATATATATATATATATATATATATATATGAAATTAGAACATCATAACACTGGGAGTATATGTATTTATTTACAATATGTCTAACAAACATCGAATTGTATAATCTCACAGCACGACAAAGATTATTGTAAATATTCCCTCCACCCCATAAAAAAGAAAAACAGATGTCATATGGCGAAATTCATATATCATGGTTATTATATGTATGCTGCCAACATCTGTTTGCAAAACCTATTTCTTGGGGGAATCATATTGACTTGCATAAATGACTTTTGTGTGTAATGTATCTATCTCCGTCCAGATATATCTATCAATCTAATCTCTTTCAAGTCATTTGCACCAATGTTGGGGCACTTCTGCGTGATGTACTAGTTAGCAAGGTTGCTAGTTATTACACCGCGCAGAAGTGCCACAAGAGTACCTAGTCTAACTAGATCAATTACCGCTGACTAGCGAATTTGATCATCATTAGGCGCCCATCTTTTCAGCGTTTGTAGAACATCTAAGATATCCGCATTTACACAAGTTCATATTAAACTGGTTGCACACACACACACAAAAACACACACAGACACAAATATATATATATATATATATATATATATATATATATATATATATATATATATATGCGTGTGTGTCTGTGTGTGTTGTGTGTGTGTATGCGAGTGTGTTTATATGTGTATAAAGTATCACACATTGGGTACTGTTGCAAATAAAACAGTGCTCGATGTATGACAACATTTATATTAATAGTACGTATAATTCTTTTTCCCATTGGTTGCAAAACTTTCAGATTCATGCACGGTGCAATCGTCAGGTTGTGCTACATGTGAAGAAAAAAGTATATATATATATATATATATATTATTATTATTATTATTATTATTATTGGTAATAGAAATCTTATAAGTATAAGAAACTATACCCGCTCGGAAAACCTTCAGTGTTTTGATTTGTAAATAACCAAGCCAATACCAAAGGGAAAGAAAGGTATATAAAAATTAAGAACCAAGAACATGTACGTTAGCCGAAAATAATTGTCCAGCATGCATGTCCAAAGCCCAAAGAAAAAAACCCGATGCGAATACGTAAAATAACTAAATAACGTGCTTAATACAATGAGTAGAGCAGACCTAGAGTAGTAGGCTCTCTAGGGTTTAATATATATATATATATATATATATATATATATATATATATTGAAAGTAAAAAATCAGTTGGTATATAATCCAAGTGGATCCTAGCCATTTCACTTAAACGTCTGTCTTTTCAACCCCAGTGTCGAATGAAATGAAGATCATATCTGTATGGTTAGAGGAAGTGGGGATGTACCAGTTAACTGTCAGGAATTGAGACAAGAAGCTAAAGAGTTCCTTTACCTCATATGGTAAAGAGTTCTTTTTACCTCACTTTGTCGTTGTAATATCAATTTGTTGTCATTAATATTCTGTTATTTTTTTTAATTAAATCTCCTTCCGTTTAATGTACATATTTCCTACCCACTTTGATACCTGTCTCGTGCCTTGCGTCTGACTGAAAGCGTGAAAAGTGTACAATCTCTATTAGGTGTTTTTGGCAAGTTAAGGTGAAAGTTGGCTCATCATCCAATCTCAATT